CAACGGAACATGCGGTACTCAGCAGTTATATCACCTATCCAGACTTGTTTTATAGCATTTTCCATGTTTTTGGTGCTTGTAGGTTGTTTATCCGCTACCTTGTCTTACACTAGTCCCCACAGGGTCTCAATCAGATTGAGATTAGGAGTGTTACCGGGCTAATCTAAGTTTTGAAGTTTCTTCTTCAGGAAAGCACTCACTATCGTTGAACGGTGACAGGGAACACCGTCCTGCACTAATGTATCGCAATCATGAACAGCCATATGAGGTTCAGACTTGTCCTTCAGCATTTCAAGGTACCTGACACAATTCATTATCGTTCCAGTGGGCAAGAAGCAGAGTCCAGCTGACCCTTTAGTAGATATAACCCCCAAGCAAATGATGACCTTGGGAAGATGTTTCATTATAGCTTGGGTATCGTATCTTTTTGCCACTAGGCCAACAAACTTGCCAAAGATTTGGCCACATTGTTTTTCCGACAAACTGGCTCCCCTCATATTTTGACATTCAAAACACAAGAAGACTTTAAAAAACTGAACTAATATTCGAAGACAATGTACTCACTGAACCTTGGTTTGTTAACATGGCTGATTAAGATGATAAAATATAGGATGATGTAATCATGAACATAATCCGATGCAATCACAAGCCTGGAAATGAAAAACATTTTTTTTTGATAGCTGGTCTTTTGCACACGACTGTACATTGAAATAATTTGAGCAACGCAGTTACATCGAAAATGTTCGTCAAATCTCTGTCCATAATTTCGACTTAAGGAACGCTCTTAAAAAGAGAAAATAATTTATTAAGGCAAAAATATATTGTAAGTGCACTAATTTGCGAATACTCTATCGTAAATTTATGTCTAATGTCATAAAAAAATGGATCCTCAATCCTCATAAAACTATTCCTATTACAATGTAGGAGAAGTTTTAATGGAATCAGTTATGCATCTAGATACGCTGAACATCACACTTTAAAACTAAAACTGAGCTTCCTTGTATCTTTAACGTTTTCGTTGTAACCGTTTTCGTTTGATGCATCTCTCCTCACTATCTCCCCCCCTCTCTCTCTCTCTCTCTATATATATATATATATATATATATATATATATTCAAACGGTAGAACCATTCTTAGTCTGAAAAAGTTGCTTCTGGGGAGGAAACGTGTCACTTTCGATTTTGCCATTCAATTACACACTAAACAAGTCTCCCTCTCTCTCTTTTTATATAAAACATTCAAGCTAGCATTTTTTTTATTTTTGTTGTTTTTATCACATTTCAGTCCGCATGTTCTTCAGTATTCCTCAGAATTTTGATTTTTTTTTTACAGCAATCCTACTACCGAAAAAAAAAGAGATTCTAATCAACACAATGTCATAAAAACAATAGAGATGAAGATAATCGTCCGAATAATACGGGAGAGAATGAAAATAATTCGTTTCAGAAAATTTGATCACAAGTCTCTTAAAAAAATGTATATTAATTAATAATTACTCTTTGTATCAAGGACCACAGATTCAAAGAAGACTGGTAAATGAGTAAAAATTGCCGAGAGAAACAAAACGTAGGAAGTTGTGGGGAGCCATTATCGCCTAAGTCTTGAACATGCAAGGAACATTGAGAATAGGGTTTTTGTTTTGTTTTCTTTCTTTCTTGTTTTGTTTCTTTCCTTTTTTGTTTTTTTCGTTTTTTTTTTGTTGGGGGAGGTTGGCATTAATGTATTTCAGTTAGAAAGCTGTGATAAAATGATATATTAAAAGTTTTATATAACAAAAAAATTTTAAGAACATTAATGACAATGTGGAAAACATTTTTCCACTTTGTTATTAATTTGAAAAACAAAAAGTAATGTGATAAAAATATTAACAAAAAAAAGACAAAAAACAAACTAAATGAAACTGTATAGTCTATATACCTATAAACATATTAAAAAAAATTTGAATAGTTTAAAATTCCAGAGCTCCCTCTCCTTTCTGCACATATGTAGTTACATCAACGTAAACATCACTTTAGTCCGATGACGTCCTAAAGAACGAAACGCGTCGCACGTAATTTTTTTCCACTTTGTCATTAAGGTAGAAACCTATAATTAATACTGTTGTTTTTCTGTGTGGGTGTGGCACTTTGGCGTCGTGTGATGCTTAGCAAGCTTGTCTGACTAGATTCATTACAACTGACTGGTGAGTTCGAGTTCGCACCTTACTGGGTGCTTCATGCTGGCGTTCTTCTGTCGCATCTAAGCTACGCTTAGTAAATCGCCATAATTAAGATAGCTTTTTGTCAAATCATCATTAATACCGAATTTCTTTCAAGAAACCTATAATTACACTTTAAATTTTTTTTTTAATTAATACCGGATTTTTCGGTGATCATTAATGTATTAATTTGAAAATGAAAGTATGTGCTCTTCATTTACATTTCATAACTTAAAAAAAATGAACTGTAAATATATGGGCGCATTTAATATTAGGTTGGTGCAAAAATAATGACGTAATAATGTCGTTTTTTAACGTTAAAAAATACGTCAAAAACCGACATTATTACGTCATTATTTTTGCACCAACCTAATAGCAGAAGCTTTTCTTTTTTAATCATTTCAACCAAGGCGATAATGCTACTAAGATTAAAGTGGGTTACTTGGAGTGAAAGAGAACGAGAAAACTTTAGCGTGGAACAATAAAAGAACAGAACAGAATTCAGGAAGACTGAAGATGGCGATTGGCATTACATTTACATTTTTGGAGTTTATAGGTGACAGGGAAGCAACCCCCAAAAAAAAAAAAAAAACAAAAGAGAGTTTCACAAGCAAGAAGTGTGAGAAAAGAAACTCTTACAATTGAACTTATGGTTGCATCTAGCTATTTCAACATTAAAACGTTATTAGACAATCTAGTAATACGCTTATATTCATACAATCGAAGTATGAAGGAGAAGATCGAGATTTGTTTCTGCTTCAATACAGAAAATGTGGCACAAGGCCAAAAATGGGGAATTGGGAAAAGAACGGACTTGTTCTGCCTTAACTTTAAACTTAGCTAACCGCAAACATTGACCCAAACATACCCTATTCCTAACACCAAAACAACACATTATTACTTATCTTTCTTACTACATCCACCATAATACCACATTGTCTCTATGAAAATCCTAACTAGTTCCCATATGTATCAAGGAGGAGAGCTCATCAGAACAGTTGCCATGAAGATATTTATAGAAAAGACAGAGGAAAGCCACGTCACGGTAGTAAGAAAATGATTGAAGTCGATATGTCAGGTCAGAACCGATAACATTGCAGATTCTTCTTTGGATTGTGTCAACAATCTCGAGATATATAGCCAGAGCACCAGATCAGATATGAAAGCAATATCCAATGTTCTTACGTAGAAATTCGTCTGAGCTGAACTTAGTAAAATTGTACTAATCCACTGGCTGAGATAGTTGTGGCTTTTCGACCGACGTCAGTAGTTCGATCTCAGGTGAAAAAATTCTGAATGTCGAATCTTGATTTTCAAATTAAGTAATCTTTTCCTGGATGTGCGAATGGCGTAACGGTTATCAGCGGAGAAAGTGAAATCGTGCCGTGTTCAATTCCCACTAATGCCCTTGGAAAAAGGTACGAATCCTTCCTTCAGTTATAGATTAAATAACAAAGTAAACTGAAGACTCCTCCCTTAATGTGGCAACTTGTTTAAGATAATGGAAACTTGAATTCAAATAGGGGATAGGCTCATTCAGATTATCTTGCCTTAGACTCACCACTGCTGTTATGGGTGCACTACACATGGTACCGCTATGTCTTTGATAGTCTCTTTCTATTTGTTCTAATTTTTTCAATCCGCATTTGACCTTATTTACATTATGCTAGGCCACACAAATCTCCTGAGCCGACCAAGCATAGAAATGAATTGCAATATGAGCTCTGGTAAAAAAAATCGTGCAATGATAACAGCAACAATTGCAATATGAGCACTGGTAAAAAAGTGTTGCTGAAGACATTAAGTTTATAAGTACCAGAAATTCATGCACAGATATCCTTATGTGCACAGTGGATAAAGGCTTTGGTTAGATCCAGTGACAGGACCCGAAGAGTTCAATACCTGGTTAAGGCAGTGGAAAACTTGGAGAGGTGAATTAATAGGAAATAACTGATAACTGGGATCCATTAGACATGGGAGGTGGAACTAGAACAGTCTACCCCAGCGAGGGTTCAGTTAGACATTCGAACCGGCCGAAACGTTGTGATAAATATGGCAACAAAGATGATGACAATAGTCCGAATAATGTAAATAGTATACATAATACCTCATCTCAGAAATATGGACAGATACATTTGATCTTGTGTTTTAATATACTAAGTTCAGTCAATATCAACAAATTTGAAAGAAATAAATGCTGAAAACTTTTACATGCATGTAATAATGATGTGTACCTGTTTCTTTTCTGAGATATTTGTGCATTTGCCATGGCGCTAATGGCCGGCGTTCGAGTTCAGGTAAGTGTGAAGATCTCATGCTGATTTTCAAGACAAGTAGATCCTTCCCAATCTTTCTACCTTCAATTGTCTTTATTTCGTACGAAGCTGGATTTCATAGATATATAATCATAATGTAAATCTTCTGGTTTTGGGCACAGGCTTAAAATTCCGAAGTCACTATAGAGAAGAAACAATAAGTATATTTTTCGACAAGAGCCTCACTAGCACATAATAGGATACCTTCGTGATAGTCAGGGGGACAACTAAGATAAGTAAACGCCCACACGCAGTAATTTATAAATATACATCGATTTAGGCGTGGACTGTGAACTGCGTTCCCTCGCGAATGAAGCAAATTGCATACAAAATGGATTCCAAAGCTGAGAGTGGTGGTTGTGCGCATGCGCGTATATTGAGGTAGACAGCATTAAAGAATACAATTTAAAAAAAAAATGATCGAATTCACATACACAATGTGTATATATAAAAGTGTGTGCATGATAGAACACATGACTGATTTTGGC